CAAAATTGCCCAGGAGGAGCCTCAAACGGCCCAAGAGAGCCCCAGGACAGGCCCAAGCTGGGCCACAGAGCGCCATTTTGGCGCACCCCTCACACGGTCCGTGGCCCTATAGGGAGCTTTTGGTCGGGTCTTTCGCCATGATAATTTTCATGGGATCGTGGCCTAGATTTAGCCGGCCGGCATGGGGCGAGAGTACGATGTTTGAATCGGTTGCCGGACCGGCGGTCTAGGGTTCCCCGCCCCCTTGTGGGACTCTTCTGCGGTTTTGTTTTACCACCATTCGAACCCTCTCTCGAAAGGCTGGTGGGGAATTACAATCGAACAGGATCATACAGATGGGTAACTGTCCAAGGGTGCTTTTGCATTCTTGCCTCTCGGCCCTTACTGACCCTTAGCCATGGGCCATGGGCTTCCAACTTCGGCTCAATTCAGGCGTCCAAGGGCCTTCCATCCTAATCGCGAGACTGTATGATCTGTTTGCATTGTGACCCTTGAGAGCCGCCAGCTTTCAGATATTCCCGATGTCTGTCCTTCTGGTTTAGTCCTCTTCCTGCCGACGTCTGGCCAAGAAACGGCGTGCGCGCAGAGGGTCGGGAGAGGACGCGCGGCATTTCGCGACGAGCCACAAATAACAAAGCCTCCAGTCGCATTTTGTCCACCACTCGAGGGGGGTTCTACGGGCCAGCCCCGCGCCGCCTCACATGCCGCAGAAGCCCGAGGCAAGACTGCAGGGAGAGGCAGGGTCCGTGGTGGAGCCACGTTTCGCCGCCGCCCAGGGCACCTCGACGGGCATCCCAGGTGTGCCGGAGGTGGACGACGTCACTTATCCTCCTCTCGTCCTCCTTCCCCCCCGCTTCCTCCTCCTCAGGGAGGCAGGGTCCGCGGCTGAGACACGTTCGCGGCCTCTCAGGGCATCTTGACGGGCATCCCAGGCGTGCCGGAGGTGGACGATGTCAACATCTCCCGCGCAGACATCGAGAAGAGCTACCAGGCGCCGCCAGAGTCGGGGGACGGCTCTCGCGCTCACTCCATGCGCCAACCTTGTTCGAGGGCCTGTTGGCTTCCTGTGGCATGTCGGCCTTCCCGGACAGAAGGGCAGGCGCGCAGAACGTCATAGTTCTTTCCATTGCGGTCCTGGAGGTGCCGAAGCCTTTGTCGAGGTCGCTTGCTAGGCATTGTCTGCAGGACGCGAACTGTGTGAGCTCTCTCGTGCAGAATGCAACAGTTGAGTGCAATGAGGGATTAGAAAGAGAGACAGCGAGAGACAGAGAGAGAGAGAGAGCGAGAAAGATGAATAGAGAAAGAACGAGAGAGAGAGAGGGGAGAAGGTTGAGAATGAAGGGGAGGAGTACCAGAGCGAACCCAAGATGGTTCAGCAGTGCTACAGAACACTCTCCCGTCCCAAGTTCCCTCTCCAGTAGTCCCTACAAGCGCCCCTTCTCACCACAAGAAGTTGTCCGTCTGAAACACCAGTCTCCGATGGGCCTGCCATTCAGGCGAGGGACACGTTTTGAGAAGAAATTGCACCGCACCCTCTCAGAGAGTGAGGAGAACCGCGCACAGGCATGATCGTGCAGTGCAACGCGGTGTCCATTTCGAGAGTGGGCCGCTCCTACCTGCGACATCCTGCAACGCCTGCGCAGACTTGCGCTCCTGGCCGCGAGCGTCGAGGAACATCTCGGGCGAGAGCCCCCCCCCTGGTGCAAGAGGCGCCGCCCTCCATCCGTGCAGCCGTGCGAGATGCTTGAGCACGTGGCTCCCCAGAACTTGTGGAGGACGACCAGTGGAGAGGACGCGTGTTGCCAAATAATTTTCAGATGTCTGCAGCATGTGTCAAACACGCTGTAAACATGCATAAAACAGGTTCAAAACATGTTTGGACCATTCTTCCCAGATTCTAAGCACAGCTTGGATTGAATGATAGGACTGTTAGGGCGTCCATTGTCGTCGCATCCACAACCCAGAATGGAAAGTCCAGAGCGAAGCCCATCTTTGGAAAAAGAAGCCGCCCTTCGTGCGTGGAGCTGGTACATATCTCCGAGCGTCCAGTCTGCCACCGGGAGCCGCGTGCAAGGGGACATTCCAAGTGGAAAAGGAGCTCTACCCTTCATCCGTGGAGCGGCTGCAAGAGTTGAGGACGAATTCGCGCGGCGCCGAGGCGGAAGCCCCATCTTGAAAAAGAGCCGCCTCCATCCTCGAAGCTGCTAAGACAAACTCGCGCGACGCTGAGCCGATAGCCCCATTTCTGGAAGGGGAGACACCGAACAGCTAAGGAACACACAAGCGAGACCGAGACAACACAAGCACGCTAAAGTTAACGCCACAAAAGAGCAAAGCAGCACAGCTAACATACAGCAATCAACAAACACGCGCATCCCACACACACACACACACACTCTTTGTTTTACTGACCGGTCGAGAGCCCCGCGGCAGAGGAGGAGGGGGAGGGGGGTCAGGCAACCAAATGCCAATTACCTTGGCGGCCTGGGCCGCTCGGCCAGGCGCGCCGCCAGCGCCGCGCGCCAGGCCACCTCGCCCCCGCCAGGCGCGCGCCGACGGCACCAGGAGGAGCGTCGCTGCCCGCGGCGGCAGCACGGGGGCCCAGCCCGGGCATGGCCGCGCCGCGAGCGCACGCCACCGCGGCGCCGAGCAGCCGCACCTGAGGCACGCCACCCACACTCGCCCCTGCATGGCCGCGTGCGCATGCCAGGCGCAACCTGCGAACAATGCGCGCGCAGCCTCGCCAGGCAGCGGCAGCACCACGTCGCCTCCGCGGCCCCCTCGGCGGCGCGGGCGGCGCGCCCCAGCGCCGGCTGGCGACGGCGCGGGCGTTGGCGCCGTCCTTGGCGCGCCCTGCAGGGGCGGCTGGCGGCAAGTGCGCAGCCCGGCAGCAGTCCAGCGCCGCCGCACGTGCGGGCCACTCTGCCCGCTGCTGCCGTGGTTCGCCTTCAGGGCGGCGAGATCCACCGCCGCTAGCAGCCGCTGCGAAGCTGCGAGAGCACGCAGCTGGCGGTCCCGCGCGGCGCGAAGATCAGGCGGCAACATCCGCGTCGCGGCGGCGGCGCCGGCCAAGAGGTCGGCCGCCGCGTTGCCTTCCCAGTCCTCGGCGCTCACCCCGCGGGCTCGCGCGGCCGCGGCGTCCAGGTGCGCCTTGACCCAGCGCGCCGTTAGGAAGCCGCTGCGGCAGGGCGGCGCGATCAGGGCCCAGAGGTCGGAGTGCTGCCACTCCAAGTGGCACGCTCCAGCACGCAGCGGCGCGACCCCATTGCGGGCGTAGCGCGAGTCCGTCACCACTTCGATGGGCTGGCCCGCCTCGATGTCCGCGCGCACAGCGGTGGTGACGTCCACTCGCTGCGCCGTTTGCGCGCCGCGGACGGGGCCGCTGCAGTCGACAGGGCCTGTGCCTGGGCGCTCAAGCCGCAGCCGCCCGCGCCATCAAGGGGTCCCCAGGGCGCAGGCAGGCGCCGTCCGTCCAGGCGCGGAGCCTCCGCGGGCGCGGATCCGGCTGCTCGGGGGCAACGCGAGCGGCGCGCTGGCCGCCAACGCCAGATCCTCGAGGCGGGCGTCCACGGGCAGCACCCCAGAGAGCGCCACGGCAGGCGGCAAGGCGGCCCAGAGCGAGGCCTCCGTGAAACCAGACCCTTGCAGAGCCGTGCTCCGAGCGGAAGTCCAAGCTGGGCGAGTCCAGAAGCGGTGCTCCTGGTCATCGCGCATGGCGCTGCAGTGGGGGCAGATCGCTGGCCGGCCCCACTTCGCGGCACCGGACTCAGTTATCACGTTGCCTGTGAGAACCGCGCGGAGTGCCCCAGTCGCGTCTGGCGCCAACTGCCCGCTGGCGAGAAAACGCCGAGTGGCCCATCGGTCAACCCCACCCTGGAGGTGGGCGAAGTCGGCGCGCCGGGCGGCCACCTCGCGCGCCTCGCGACGGGACCAAGCCTCGAGCAGCACTTGCTGGGTGTCACGCAGGGCTGCGTCGGCCAGCCGCCACCCGTCTGGGCGCCCAGGGATGCCGCGACAGAGCTCGACGTCGGAGCAGAGCCCCAAGGTCGCTAGGCTCCGCGTGGCCGCCGCGATCAGCCCGCTCCCGCGCCCGTGGCCCACGAACATGGCCCCCTCTGCCTCCCGCCACAGATCCGGCGGGAATCCACCGCGTCGGAGCGCTTTCGCCAGCTGCCACAGCGGCGCGATCGTGACCGCGGCCAAGGGGTCGAGGCGCCACGTCGGGCTCAGAACGCCGAACACCACCTCGGCCGCGGCGCGCAGCCCGCCCCGGCACGCAGCCGCCCGCGCGGCCGTCTGGAGGCCAGCGAGTTCTCGGGCGGGCGGGCGCCCACACGACGCCCCGTAAAGCCCAGCGGCGGTGCCAGCTGCGGCGCCCAGCAGGCAACGCTGGCGAAAGGGCACCGGCAACTGCCCGAAGCGCATGAAGCGGCATCCTGCGACCATCGCCCGCGTGCCGGCGACAGCGCAGCGTCGGGCAGGTCCGCCGTGGGCGACCGCGCCCAAGTCGCGGAAGCCGCAGCGAGCGGCGATCGCGGGCTCCTGGGTGGACACCCAACGCCGCAGCTCCCTCGTGCTCGCGAACTGGCGGCTCTTATTTCGATTAAGCTGCCATCCCATCGCCGTTTCAAACGCCTCCGTGGGCTGCACCCCGTTCCTGACGGCCTCTGCGACGTCGCTCGGCTCGTCGGCCTTGCCGCGGGTCCACAGCGTGAAGTCGTCGATATATAAGCGCCGCCGCAGGCGGTCGTCCACAGACCCCACGCGCCAGAACCACGGGTGCGTGAGCACGCTGAGGAGGAAGACCGGCAGGGCGCAGCCCGGCAGCAGGCCCCGAGCAGGCAGCCAGGCTCCACCGATGGCGCGCCCGACGCAGACCCGTCGCTTGGCCACACACACACACACATACACACACACACACACACGCGTGCGCGCGCGTAAACACACACACACACACACAAACACACACACACACACACACACACTCACACACACACACACAGACACACACATGGCTCAAGCTGTTCTGGCTCAAGCTGCTCTGGCTGAGCCATCCCCCCTTATGCTCTTCTTCATCAATACACCCCACTCCGTTTTTCTTTGCCGCTTATTACACAGTCTGCACCGCTCTATGGGAAATGAACGATGTAAGCACGTGGCTCCTGCTGACAATCGAGGCCGCGGAGCAGCGCGCCCAGGCTTCGGCTCCTCCCCAGTGCACCAGCGCCCTCGGCGATCCCTGCACTGGAGGCGGACAGTTGGACGCCCCGTCGGGCGCCCCTGGAGCTGGCGGCGGGAGGCCCGAAGCGGTCTCCGACAAGGGAGCGAGAGCCGCTTCCCATCCTCTCGCGCCCACCAGGACGCTGGGCGCCGCCGAGGAGCAGGAGCCCGAGCTGGCGGGGCTCGTCGGCGCCCGCAGCTCCTGTGGAGGACATTCTGGCCGTTGCCGGGGCGCCGCCCGCAGTGGCCATCACGGTGCTTCCGCGCTGGCAGCGTTCGGGCGCTTCGCGGAAGGAGCCCCTGGCGGACCCGCGCATCGTGCGCACTCCGCCGCGGCGGTGGTTGGCGCCCCCGAGCGCCCTGGTCGCCAGGCCCTGCCCAGAGGAGGCGCTCCAGCACGCCCCCGTCGCCAAGCCCTCTCCGGGACGTACGCGGGCTACGAGCGGCGCGGCGACGGGCTGCCGCGGAGAGCAGAAGCCCTAGCGGTCCCAGTCCATTTTCGGCTCGACGGGGATGAGAAGGACAGTGATGAGGACTGCCCGTCTGTTGCCGAAATGCCGGACGTGCTGACAGCCTGGTGGCACGACTTCCTGCGCGGCTCTCTCAGGGTCGCTGGCTCGGTGTCCCAACGGCGCATGGCGGTCGAGCGCAGCGCCTCTGCGGCGCCCGGGTTCACTCCCGAGCTCCGCGGGTGTTCGATTTCAGCCCCAGGGGGGATCATCATCTCGGACTCGGACCTGGAGTGCCACGTCAGGCCCGGGCCTCGGAGCTCGGACTCCAACTGTGACTCCCAGGCCAGCGACCTCGCCCGCTTCGGCGCGATGCAGAGCACGCCGCAGGCCGACGCCATTCAGCACGAGGAGCCGTGGAGCTCACTACGGGGTCACCCCCGTGAGCACGACGTGCCGCTGGGCGATTCCCTGCTGTCTTCCGCACCGACCTTCGCCCCCGGGACCAGTATGCAGGGGAATGTTCGCCAGGCTCAGGGCGCTGCGCTGCCAGACGTCTTCAACTCTACCCAGAACGGCACGCGGGGGAACACGGCGAAGGGCATCACCATCCAGAGCCAATGGACGTCGTCACCACGAGCGAAGCGACGCCAGGCCCACCTCCGCCAGATCGAAGGGCCGGCGACCGCACAACGTCCATCGTGAGCTTTAGTGCGGCGTCGGCAGGGCTAGAGGCGCCGTCCATGTCACAATCTCTGCGCAGCCTGGAGTACATCACGGTGCTGGCTGAGGTCAGGGCGCGGCACGAGGAAGGCGCGGCGACAACCGACATCACCCGGCGCTTGCAGCATGCGGCGGAACGCCTCCAGCGTCGGGGCGTCGCGCGTCGGAGCCGCCTCCTGGTGCGACGCGGCGCTGCCCATGCGGCGGCGCGGTGCCCATGCGGCAGGGGGGCCTGGCCTAGCCCCCCGAACTCCCGGAGCGCCCGCCGCTGCTGCCTCCTTCGTCTTCGTCCCCGCCGCAGCCGCGGTGGCGCCGTCTTCGTCACCAGGCGGAGCCGGCGTGCTCGTCGAGCTAGGTGCGCACTACACATTCACAAGGCATTCGCAAGAGACTCGTTCTCTTTGACTCCACCGCGGTGTGGTCGCGTCTTATCTCTGAGGCCTTCTCGCTGAGGCTCATAATGCAGGCCGTCCCTTGTCGCTGAGGCTCGTGATATTTGCTGCCGTGAGAATTTCCGCGCCGTTTTCGGGCGCGAGCTTGTTCAGTTCTGTTAGCAAGCAGCCGTGGATGAGACAGTCCTGTCTTTCTGTTTTCCAGCGCGGCCGGCGCCGTTACGACAGCTTCTGCGTTTTTGTTCCCCCAGACGCTGCGTTACAAGGTGATTTGCGTTTTCTCCCGATGTTGTCTGCTCTTCCTCCCTTCTTCTTTCCTTTCCTCCTTCGGCTTAGGTTCTATACTTCTAGTACCCGCGGCATCCCGTCCCCACACAGCATTTTGCCCGACCTGGGGGGCGCCATTCAGGGTCGATGCACGCGTTGCGGCGTGCGCCTGGTTTGGCGACCACTGTGCATGTCTTGTTTCGACTATTCCCATCACGCTGCCGCTGCATTGTCTCGCACTGTGGTTGGCGCGTTGTGGGAGGGTTCGTGGCACCGCTATCACCCTCCTCCTCAAAAACACACACACATACACACACGTACACGCTTGTTGACGTCGCGGCCACACGCGTGCGCGGCGGCGCGCCGTAGGTCAAGCCAGGCGGGAGCGCGCGAGAAGGGCCAGCTCACGCAGCGTGGAGATTCTGGATCCACCCATAGGACGTCGACAGCAACATTCGCGAAGGGGCAGTCGCGAGGGGAGAGGGGGAAGAGGAAGACACGAGGAACGGAGAAGCAGTACCACAATGACGAGCCGAGGCATCAAGCGAGTCTTAGCAGGAGGGCGGCAACGGCAGCCGACCAGGAGGGAGAAACCAGACAGAGTGAGGAATCCCGGGCCAGCCAAGGGGCACCGGGGGGAGAACAACGACGACGGGGAGAACACACACACACACACGAACACACACACACACACATATTGCACCGTCGAAGCTGCTTCACACGTTTCAGGCGTATGTGCGCGGCGCTGAGGCGAGAGCACCATCGAAAAAACGCGCCACACCTCTCAATCCTTATAGCCGCTGTACGGTGTTAAGACGAGTGGGCGCGGCTCTAGGGCGAGAGTCCCATTTTAAAAAAGAGCCGTTCTGCATCCGTGCAGCTGCTATTTGATGCTCACTTTCCTGATCAAAAAATTGTCCAGCGGAAGACTGGCGTAGAAAAGGACCCGCTCTCCATCCTTGTAACCGACGCAAGCATTTAGGACGAATCTGCGCGGCGCTCAGGCGAGAACCTAACTATCAAAACGCCCCCCATCCAAAACAGCGCTGCACACGTGTAAGACGAAAGCGCGCGGAGCTGAGGCGAGAGACAACGTTTGAATGTGTGACCCCCATCCATCCTTGTAGCCGTTGTGCAATTTTGAGACGAATGCGTGCGACGCTGAGGCGGGAGCCCCATTTTGAAAATGAGCCGCTTTGCATCCTTGAAGCTGTTGCAGATGTTGCACGAATGCGCGCGGCGCTAAAGCAAGAGCTTAAGTTTGAAAACAGCTCCCCGCCCGCTCCGACCCTTGAAGCTGTGACAACTTTCGAGCTCCAGTATCACAAATGGTGGCGAAACGCCCAGCCAGCCTGCCGACAAGTCTGAGTGTGCGACGGGCCGCAGTAGGATCGAAAGAATGGAAAACGGGATGGCAAGGAGGAGGAGCAGCAGCAGCAGCATCAAGGAAGTAGGGTGGGAGAAAGAGGAGAGGCGGGAGGGAGGCGGGAAATGTCTCCCTTGGGTTCCCCTTTTACCCCCTCCCCCCCCCACATGTCTATGTCCCCTCCCTCCGCTCGCTTCACCTCGACCTGAGGAGGAGGAGGACACGACGACGAGGACCATGATGAGGAAGAAGAATAATGAACAGATGAGGAAGAGGTAAGCAAAGAGCAAGAGGAGGACGGCGACGAGGCGCGGGAGGAGGAGTTCGAGGAGGAGGATTGGTTATCCTTTGCGACCCCCTTTTAAACTGCTTGGACCTGACAGGCGTAGCGTGCAACAGCCAGGACCTTCTCCCCCTCGGCAACCGAGGGCATGGTCACTTGAAATACAGTCAGCCCGCACAGTAAGGATGGGCAACCTCCACAAGTGTATCCTTGGTCACTTTCGTTGACCTCTTTCGCCACTTTCGTTGACCGCGCCCCGCTCGAAAAGCTTTGAAAAAGGCCTTCCAAGGCCCTTGCATCCTTACCGCGCATCCTTATGATACGGGCTGGAGCCGACCAGTCACATCGTACAGCAGCGCAGCACAAGGAGACTGGACGGCCGCCGGAGCTCCACAAAAGCCCGCGGAACAGCGTTCGCACGACATGCGGGCCTACACCTTCTCACTTCCAGCACCAGCCGTCGAGTCAGGATCAGCGGCACCGTAACTGGTACTCACTGACGGGTACTTTGGAGAGTTGCCGGAAGTTGCCCCTGTAGGGCCTCTTTCTGGCATTGCAGCCTTGCCCACATCGGGGAGGGTTAGGTTCGCCGGGTCACTGGCCAAAGTACCGGTTAGCGGAGTCCCCGTTGAAGGGGCGCTGACAGGAGACCCCGCCGCGCGCGCCGAAAGGTTGAACTGACGGCCGGTGCGGATGCACACCAATCAGATCCCGAGTCAGCAAGGCAGTGGCCTGCGAGACGCTCCTGGGCAGGCCTGCCCTCATCTCGCAAAGAGAGCAGACAACCCCACGGAGGGCGGAGCTCTAGCGAGGCCAGCAGCAGTCCCCTGGGCCCGCCTGTCTCCCATTTCCGCGGGACGGTCAGACGCCGAGAAACGAGGCTCGGAGGGCCCGTCACCTCCAGGGTCAGATAAGACAAATGGACAAGAAGCGTCGAGCATGGGTCTCTGGGATAAGATAAATGGGCAAGATACATGGAGAAGAGAAATGGATAAAAATAAATGGGCAAGATAAGAGAAATGGATAAGTTAAATGGACAAGAAACTTCGAGTCACCATATTCCAATACCAACTACCAGACTCGGAAGTTTGTCTGGCACAATCTTCTTTGAGACATTGGACCGACCATGGGAGCTCGAATACCTACACCGCATGCAAATCAGCACGGTCGGTCCACCGCTGCAACCGAGAACCATACACCTATGATGCTGACTGGCTATAGCCTTGAGAGGCGAATCCCTGTCTCCTGGGCAGACACTCCGTGGCGGAAATTCGGGCGACTGGGACCTGACCACCCTGAGAGACGAACAACACATCCAGAAAATACCCATGTGTCTCCAGTCATGTTTTAAACGTACACGCGGAAGAGGGCGAGGAAGGTTGAGGTAGTCAACCTCACCAAACATCCCGAGGGGGGGAACATTGGGGGGGAGGTGCATGGCAAGAATACAGTAGGTTCGAGCGCACGCGAGGTGGATCGTGAGGAGGACAAGGACATGGAGGAAAAAGGGAAAAAGAGGAGGAGGCACTGGGAGTTCCCTCGCGCAGTCCTTCAACTTCACCAGCGTCGAGCACATTGACGTGTTCGAGAGGCTGCTCAAAGAGGGTTTCCAGGTGATTAGTGAGGCCAGGGGAGTCGGAGGGTGAGGAGGAGCAGGAGGAGGGATTCGCTTTCACGTCGCACACGTGTTGGCGGGCTCGGGGGGAGCAGCAAACGTCGCAGCGCTTGCATTGCCCAAGCCGGCCAGGTGCGTCTTGCAAGGCGAGTCTTGCGTGATTCAGCTTGGAAAATCAGCCAAGTGCATCTTGCCCGTCCGACCCGTCCGACACCGAGAAAGCAAGGACGGAGGAGGGAGAAGGGAGGAAGGACGGGGGAGGCGGGAGAAGGGAGGGAAGGAGGAGGGAGGAGGGAGGGAAGGAGGAGAGAGGAGGGAGGGAAGGAGGCGAGAGGGAGGAGGGAAGGCGGAGGGAGGATAGAGGAGGGGGGCAGGGAGATGGGCATCTTGCGACGCCCTAGGCGCTCGCCCAACTGGACCAGATCTTCGTAGACACGAAGTTCGAGTTCGGCTACGTGCGCGACAAAGCCGGCGGCAGGACATGCCCATTTCCGCCCTCTGACCGGAGGGCGCCCTGCGAGTCCAGATGAGGGGGGCGGAGGAGGAGGAGGACGAGGAGGACGATGTCGTCGACGACGAGCACAACGACGACGACGACGACGACGACGACGACCAGGAGGGGGGGTTAGAGAGAGCGCCGTGGGGTACGCGTTCGCGCCGTGCCTGACATCCGACCAACTGACCCTCCTGCGCATGTCTTTGTCCGTAGCCTTGTGGAGGACGATCAATGGATCGGAATCACGTTGCCAAAAAAAATCCAGATGTCTAAAACATGTGCTAAACATGTGTTAGACATGTCAGAAACCATGTTTAAACATGTTTATGGTATTTTCCGACATGTTAAATTTGATTTCAATTCAATGATAGGACTGTTAAGGTGTCCATTGTCGCGGCATCTACAACCGTTGCCAGTCTTGCTCAAATTCGATACGTGGGGCCCTGGCGTTTCGAACGCGGCTGCTGCCAAGAGGGGTGCGACGCAGCGCCCAGAGGTCGACGAGCGACCGCCCAGCGTTCGTTGTCTCCAGACCCTCTCACCTTCGCGCGCGCGGCTCTCCCGACCCTGGAGTTCGTCGCGAGTTGCAGCAGCATGCCACCCCCGTGCCCGACCACATCCTGCGGACCAGGAGTCCGAGGCGCGCCAGGCTAAGTACCATGAGGCCGCGCAGGCGTTGGCGGCGGAGGTGCTCCCCGCGCGCCAGGAGCCAGCGGCGCATCCAGCGAAGCACGGGCTCAACCTCGATGCTGGAGGGCGACGGCTTCGAGGTCTTCCTGGACAGGCTCTTCGGCCTGGAGGCGGAGGGCAGCGAGGTCTCGTCTGAGGAGCGCGATGAGGCCAACAAGAGGAAGCAGGAGGTGGAGCAGACCATTAAGAAGGCGGTGGTCGACGCTTTCGGCTTCGCCAAGGCGCAGGCGCAGGAGCTCGCGGCAGAGCAGCGTACTTTCCGCCAGCGGATGGCCACAAAGAAGCGACGAGTTGACGACGCTGATCAGACAGCCGAGGGGGGCCCAGCGACGCCGGGGGAGCCCAAGGCCGAGGGCGCGGCGGCGGCCTCTGGCGGAGGTGCTCCGCCACCGCCTCCGCAGGCGCCTTCGCAGCAGACGTTGGCAGAGGCAGCATCGACGGCGAGTTCCGGTGCCGCGGGCGTTCCTGTTGACGCGGACAAGCAGGCCACCTTGGCCAAGCAGTTCCAGCGTGCATCGAGTATTGCCCACGCAGGAGAGCCTTTTCTCTAGCCTGTGGGTTACACCAAGTTCGCTTACCAACGGGACTGGGCACTCGGCGGCTTCACCTCGGTCGCAATACCCACCTGCTCTGAGACCGCCGAGACGTCCCGCGGGTGAAAGGGCGGGAGCAGGGCAGGCAGAGAGCGCCACATGCTCGGGAAAAAAGGCTTGCCCCCCGATACTTCGGCCGCGAGGGGGTCCATGCCCCTTTCGGCCGGCGCGTCGTCGACGACGGCGAGGGCCCCAGCGCGCCCCCCCCACCCCCACCATTTGCCCGATGCGGATTTGAAAAACATTTCGC